TCTACAACCTTGGCTTGAACATCCATATCCTACATACAAATCAATAGCCTCTATCAATCTTGTTCATGATATTTACCAAACTATAATTCTGTTTCTTGTTTATAGTTATAAAATAACTTTTTGATCTAAGTTCCAAGTATCCAAATCAAAGAGATGTCAATTACATCCAATTACCTCCCTTGATGGAATTCAATTTAGTCCTATATAAATGATCTAAAAGATACTATCATCCTCTGAATCAGTGGAGTGATGACCATAGGATACAATGAATGAAAAGGAAAGGGTAGGAGGGTGGGACTCCTTAAGTTATGTTAATTATTACACCATCATGGCTGAAGAAGTCCACGTATGCTTCATAAACGTTAGCTGTTTAATTGTATAAATATGAAATGTGGATTTTTTTGTACAGATGTTTGTATACACATACCAAACAGATAAGTTTTGTAGATGTAGTGTCTTGTATGTTTAACAGACGAAATATGGATGTTTTGATACGGGAAACCTATTTACATGAGAATACATGTACATACAGACTAGCAAAATTGTATATAGCATGAACATAGAATGCATCAATACATTCTATTAGTTTTTGAGATATCTCTCCTCAGACTTTAATTATCGTTTTGTTATCCTAAACGTGGAATTCTCTTTAACCCCTACAACTATTTTTATGATATTCATTGTGTATATATACGTAAATACCAAATTGTTCTGCTGCCCATCCTTCTCATATTGGAGGATCAGTCATTTGTTATGCTCAAAAACGTCTTGTTTCTTTTGATACGTTCAAGTACATGGACGTGTTTATGTTTTCTCCTACTTTTCCATTTTTGTATATATTTTCATATGTTAGTTGTATATAGCATACCCAATGTACCCCATATCAGTTTCAAAAAGTTTTATACGAGTTCCTTTGCCTTACTCTGTGCATTTACCACTACTGTTTTTAATTTCAAAATCGCAAAATGCCTATTGATTTAGTGTGGTACAGAGTGGCAATAGGGACATACTACCTAAAAATGCATGGCGTTTTAATATCATATGTATGTAAATGCACACTTCTTGATATATTACTTTTTGTCTTTCTGTTGCTTGGTAATCGAAAACTACTTGCACTCACGAGTATAAAGTTCTATTATTTACTGAAACACACCTTGATGATAATGTACCAAACTCTGATCTTTTGATTGAAGGTTTCTCAGAGCCACTCCGACTAGATAGAAACTGTGTTGGTGGTGGTGTAATGATCTACATAGCCGAAGATGTTCATTTTAAACGTCGACACGATTTAGAATTTCCAGGGGGTGAAATCATATGGATTGAACTGAATTGTACTGGTAGCTCATACCTTATCTGTACTGTGTACCGTCCTGAAGGATCCAATATATCTTTTTGGGACAATGTCCAGACCTCCATAGAGACAGCTTTTAACTATACTACCAATGTCATCATACTTGGCGATATTAATATTGATCTGTTTACAGTTCGAAACCATAGACTTAATGATATTATTATTCTTTTTACTTAACCAATGTAATATATGAACCTACCAGGGTTACTGCGAACACACAGACTCTGATTGATCTTATATTTGTAAGTGATACTGTTCATGTTCTAGAATCTTCTGTTATACCTGTTGAAAAAAGAATAAGTGACCTGACTCTGCCACACATGTTGCTATCAAATTACCAGGTAAAAGTACGAATACATACAAACGTGATGTATGGATTTATAAAGATGCTGATTATGATAAGTTTAATAATCTGATTAGGAATTTTTCGTGGGGGGAACATTTTGAAAATTGTAATGTAGATAAAGCTTGTGATATTTTCACTTCATCATTTCTCGAGTTTGCTAATCTATGCATACTAAAAAAACCAAATAACTGTTAGGAAGAATGATAAACTCTGGTTTAATTCAGAATTACGGAGGGAAATCAGAAAAAGGGATAGGTTACACAAACAAGCACGTAGATTTAATCGTCCATGCGACATTCTGAAATTCAGGCAACAGACAAACAAAGTAAACAATATGAAGAAGTATGCTAAAACATTGTTTTTTGAAAATATTAACGGAATTATTGATAACTTTGCCTTGCATGGTCCTAAACAATATTGGAAACTTATGCATCGACTTATTGGTAAAACAGCCAAATCAGAATCAATTCCCTCCTTATATGACAGTGATACAGGTGAGTTTGTGTATGCTGATAAAGTAAAAACAGATTTACTCAATAAGTTTTTTTGTTCCATTGCTAATAATATTGATGAACCCACTATCATCCCAGAATTTCCTTCAAGATGCCCTAATTCAATTGAAAATATGGTCTTCTCTGTTACCGAAATAAAGGATATTCTTTTAACTTTGAAGCTAAACAAAGCTACTAGAAAAGATCAAATTAGTCATGCAATGTTAAAAAATACTGCAGAACGTGTTTGTATACCTCTTCAATTGCTTTTTAATTTATCTCTAAGTCAATGTAAGTTTCCAAGTCAGTGGAAAACAGCTATAGTAATACCTTTATTTAAAAAAGGTGAGCGTTTTCTTTCTTCTAATTACAGACCTATTTCTCTTCTTAGCACTGTCAGTAAAGTGCTTGAACGAGTAATGTACAAGCATTTATTTAATTCTGTCATCGATAACAACTTCCTGTATAAACACCAGTCAGGCTTTGTTCCAGGTCATTCTACTGTCACACAATTACTAGAAATGTATCATAATATTTGTTTATCATTAGAAAATAAGTGCCAAACATGTATGGTATTTTTTGACATTTCAAAAGCTTTCGATAGAGTTTGGCATGATGGCTTAATGAAAACAAGAGGCCCAATGGGCCTGCATCGCTCACCTGGTATAAAACTCACACTTGTAACCTTAAAAGTGATCTAAAATAAAGCTACAGGCAAAATATCAGTATTTATGATTAAAATTCGTTCAAAAGACCCTGTTATTTTTTTTTTAAACATTTAACCCCTGTGATTGAAAGTCGAACAAAGTCATTATGTTGAACACATTGTATAGCCTTTCATCTCAGGATGCAACTTGCAAAGTATAAACATCCTGGGACCCATGGTTATTCATAAGAGGTTGTTTAAAGATTTTAAACAAATTTG